TTTGAATTCATATGAATAACTAGGGTGTGGGTGCAGGTGGATGAGTGTGGGTGGGTGTGGGTGCGGGTGGATGGGTGTGGGTGTTAGAGAAGAGAAGACCCATACCCACGTGTTGCATGCGTTGCTGTTTGCGACACAATGCATAATACATTCTGAAAGTGTGGTTCAAACCTATCAAATAGCGCATTTATTTTTTTTTTCTGTGAAACCATGTAATGACATTTTTTCAATTTATTTTCATTTTAATTATTCCTATCCCAAATAACTGAAGAAAGTCAGATTTTGGAATCAGCCTGAGCTTGAGATGGTTTGATCTCCATCAGACTACTTAAGGATAGTCCTCTCTCAATCATCGATCGAGATCACCATGCCCTCGAATGATCAACATTCGAGAAATAGTTTTAAAAAAAAATTTGTTGAAAATGCATGTTTTGTATGTTCAATCACGTTGTTTATATATGGTACTATCTGCATTAAAAAATGGTGAGTGACTAGTCAGCATGTAAACACTAATGATGTCGCTCCTTTACTCAAGATCTTGTGAGAAGATAATAGTAAACGATATCTTTTCTATGATCTTGACAAGATCTTATGAAGATCTTGGTTATCGGTCCCAAGATTTCAAGATCTTGCTTACAAGATGTTCCACTAGGGCATTCTATTCACTAACTGAATGGTGCTTTTCGATGATTACTAGAAGTAAATGATGGTACTCATTCTGTATGATGAAGATGAGGAGTAGTAAATTGTTCTAGGTTCCCGCGTCTCTTTATCTCTTGTCAAGCTTTAAATTTATCACTAGTTTTCATCAAATTTGTTACTGAAATGTTGAACGATCTTACTAATGGAATCTTTGAAAGAAACCATTGATCATTTCTTCTCAAACATCTCATTGGCTTCATACCCTAAAAGATAGAGAAAGTCTTTCTCTAAAAAGCTTTTTGATATACTGTAGAGATCAACTGGAATAACACCAACTCAAAAGTAAAGTTAGAAAAATCGATCGTACAAATAGAATTGAAAGATAGGTCAGTTTTTCATCGAATTTGGTTTTTTTTAATTGAGAGTTCTTTCATCCAAAAACACGTTTTCACTTCATTGAACAAGAAAACGAGACTTTAAACAACGAAAAACAGAAGTAAAATCAATTATTCATTACATTGACACATGTATCCTGACTAAATAAGATATTACATTATCATAAAGAAAATAATACATCCTCTGTCGATTCACTATACGATCTTAGAATATTGAGTGAAATCAGTCAAAACATCAGAAAGTGCATTCTGTACGTCCTTTCTTTCTTGTTTATCAGCGTCGCCAATGAATGTAGATGTGATCAAATACAAATCAATCAAGAAACGCGTCCCTGCTGTTACTACGATAGAAAAAAGTATTCCAACTATTGACCTTGATTCCAATCTGCGACGTTGAGATGCAGTCGACCTTATGAACAAATATCAACTGAAACTTGCTGATATTCTCAACAACATAAAACAATCCATGTGATTTATTAAAGTTTATCGTTGGTTAAAGTTTAATGAGAAAGATAAGTTTTATGAAAATCAATCAACATTGAACTTTATTCTTGAAAATCTTTCATTTTTTTATGGCGAACTAAATTTTTCATATCGACGAATCTTCTTTGATCAATCATTTTTAGGATGACTGTGTTTTCTTTCATTTTCTTTGGTGAGAAATATTCTTCTTCTCTTTATCGTTTTGAGATATGATCGTGATCTTTTCTAAGTTATAAAGCTAAAAGTGAACTTTTCTTGGAATAGATTATGTAAATCTGATTCTCGATCGATGAAAGCATCGTTTGTTTTTAATATTTGTTGTTTAAGATTGTTGAAAATACACACGAAAAAGTGAAGAAGTAAAAATGTCAAAATTCTCTTCGTATTGAAAATACACACAAATCTTCAAAGTCTTGTGATAAAAATTTTATCATAATCTCTTATTTCTAAGAGATTTTAAGTAAATAAATTAATTTATAAGTCATGTTGAGTAAATCCTTTTATTATACATTAGAACTAAAATTGTTGTATGTGAAAATGTCAATAAATCTGTTATTGTCGAATTTTTTTGCAGTGAAATAACTGATCTCTTTAAATTAAACTATCATCGATCTCGGAAATACTAAACTGATACATTCTCAGTTAGTAATTTGATATTGTAAACAAAATTTATCTAATTATATGGCTAGATCAATATACCACTGCTGAAGTTTTTCATCTATTGTTCGTATCCTCGATCGTTCTAATCGAATATTTATGTGAAAATATAAATCATGTCGCGCAGTTAAGGTCACGTGTTCACTAAAAGAAATTCACTTTATTTGATAAGAACTTATAAACAAATTATGAATCATTTATAAATATAAAATTTTCATTGATTGTCTTCATACATTATCTTATTCTTAACCAAAAATAAACAAATTAAAGAATCAGTCATTCAATTGTATGATCAACTTAGATAATATTAACATAAAAATCAATAACATAAATATGATGGAAAACAAAAAGATACTAAAATAAGATCTTTGAAAAACAAAGCAACCAGTCAATAGAATTCTAAAGAGACTAAATACCTTAGATAAACTAAGACGAGTTCGGAATGAATTTTTGCAAATCTTTCTTATTATTAATAGAAATGTGTAACCGTTTCAACGACTTCATTTTCTTCTTAGTTTAGTTAATAAATCAGATTTCTTTTCAAGTATCGTGAAAGAATGAAATCATTTCATGTACAAAAACAAACAAATCAAATTATCATCGTCTTGATAGAAATCAGTTAATCATTATAAAATTCTTTACTATTAATTGAAAGAAAAATGTACAGCCGAACTTTTGTTAACAAAAGTCTTTTTTTTATTCTATTGAATTCACATCTGTCATGGAAAGAATAAAAGTTCTTTATTATATAAAGCGTTTTAATCATGGAAGAATAACTATCTATGTTAATGATGAACATCTTTTAATTAGCCAATTTTCGATCAGTTTGACCACTATCAGATATTTCTTCATAAAGTTTATCTTAGTAAACTTTGTCTTTAATTTATCACATTACTTCTTAAACGTCGTCTCATAATGATCTTTATTCAATGACTTTACTAGACAATTTCATCATATCGAATAATATCAACATGAACTCAGAAAAATCTCAACCTAATAAATGTCAAAAGGATATCAAGAAATTCAATGTTTCTAACGCAGTTATGAGAAAATATTAAGAAGTTGAATCACAATTATGCGAATGGGGTGTGGGTGTGGGTGTTCTTTTTATTTACACCCACAACCACAACCACAGTCACACCCACCCGCACCCACCATACCCACACCCACACACCCAAATAAATTAAGGTCTTTTGAATAAAACGATCAATAATTTAAAGAAACTAGTAAAATATCATTATATTCATCAAAAGTTTTTTTTTGATTCAGACTCGATGAATAAAAATTTTCAGACCCGGACTCGATGGGCTCCACACCTCACACCTTATTCTTTACATTTTTACATTGATTTAAGAGAGTGCAACTATGTAAAACATACATGGTTTTGTAGAGCGAAAAATTCTTTATTAAATGAGTTTAGAAGTCATTTTTTGGGTCAGTTGAAAATGTTTCAAAAACAAAGACCAAAAATGCTCAGTTTATTATGGCCCACCTGTAACTAAATTATCAACTCAAAATCGTGCTAACATGACTATAGTAGAAAAGCTTGATTTGCTGGATACATTTACACTTTCTGATTTTTGGACATTTTTCTTTGTTTGTTCCATGACATTTAGGAGAATAAATCATATCAATATTTAATGTTTGTTCATATCTGACGACAAAGCCTATTATGCATTTATAATATTAGGAAAAAATTGCAATAACGGTCTCTTTTGACTAATATAGAGAATATGACACGTCAGGATTACAGGATTCTCCATCATTCGTCTTGAGCGTGGGGGCTAATATGAAAAAAAATTATCTTGGGTAACGGTGCTGATGAGAGTGAGTTTAAGAACAGATTTTAAAGTCGGTATAGCCAACACCAGATGAGTTGTTTGTGAATGTGGGTGTGAATGAGGATGAGGGTGTGTGGATTGGATGTGCTTGTTTATTCTGGGTGTGGCTGTGAGTGCGGGTGGATGTGGGTGGCTGTGTGTGAGTGTAGATAGAGAGATGAATCAAACTCAGACCCACATCACACCCCACACTCACACTCACACTCACCCACTGCACATCCACACTCGTAAGTCGAATATATACTTCAAGTTTGTTTATCGTTATTCAAGGTAAAATAACTGACGTCTGCACTAGTTGTAACACAGGTACATAGAAAAAAAGTTCATTTTTGAGGTTGATTGATATTTTCATCATTCTTTTTTGGCCTGTATATGTACACATGATTAACATCGAAGAGAAATTGAATGAAATAATAGGCATTAAATACAGCCTTGTCTATGGTTTCTTTTCTCAGTGATAAACTTGACTGTAATTCATTGATAGCACCTAAAGTAAAATTTGTGAACTGATCAAAAACAGGAAAATGAGTAAGAGTATACAATGCTTTGAGTACCAATTTGAATTAGATAAATATACGATAATTTTAACAAGAAATTAGTGACATCTAACAACAAAGTTAGTGTTCCAATAAAAATGAATGTAACTCGGTTTGATGTTTTTTTTTCTATACTAATATAACGTTCAATGAAGATCTACAATCCATCGAGGATATTTGTGACGATTCATCTATTCTTAAATATATTGATTGGATTTGTTCAAATTTTATCTTTGTTACTTTCATCCATGCGTTGTATTCTACACTAATTTACTCAACATTGACGCGTAATCATTATATTTACTCATCTCTCTGAGTCATTCCTCGTTTCATGTCATATAAAATGCGGCGGTTATATTTTTTTTTTCTTGTATACTACGAGACTAAAACTGTGAAGTATGCTTCGCATCAAGCAGGAAGTAGCATCATCGACGGCATCAGATAGAATGGTCCCTCTGAAACAAGTGCGTGTTGATGCAAAAATTCGTTCGTTTGCTGCCGATGTAATAATTACACAGGTATTTCAAAATGATGAATTTGTATCGGTTGAAGCTGTTTATTGGTAAAAAAATCATTTCCTCTCTTTAGTAATTTATACGATCGTTACAGTTTTCCTATCGAAGAGAATGCAGCTATTTATGGCTTCGTAGCTCGCATAGATGACGAACGTGAAATTGTTGCTGAAATCAAAGAGAAAAAAGCAGCACAACAAGAATATACACAAGCTCTAGCACAAGGTCATGGCGCTTATCTATTAGAGCAAGATGAAGCTTCAAATAACATATTCCCTATTAGTGTGGGAGCGTATGCTATTGTTTTTTTTAAAATCTTATATTCAGTTTGTTGTATTATGTTTTATTCAAGGTTAAAGCCTGGTAGTCAATGTTATATTACAATTAGTTATGTGAGTGAACTCGATTTGTTGCATTCTAGCAAAAAGCCAACAATTCGTTTTGTTGTTCCTACTATAATTGCTCCGCGTTACTCACCTTCACACAAAGATATTGCATCTTCAGGTGAAACACAAGTTGCATATGCTGAGTCGGTTCCTTACACAATCGAGTTCATGTGTCAGGTGGAAAAACTAGATCAACATGTTGCTTGTATTTCGCCTCCTTCACATCCAATCAAGATCGATTGCAGTAATGAGGAGATCTTTTTTGTCACACTTACTCAACAAGGAATTGAACTTGAGTAAGTCATTTGTCGTCTAATCTTAGTTGAAAACATTAGTAGGTTGGAAAAAAAAAGTTTTCATCTTATTCACATGTATATTGAAAGGCACGTATTAATTTGTCTTTTGTAGTCGAGACATTATTATTGATGTTGAATTATCCGACGTACGAAGAAATACAATCGCAGCCATTGACAATGGTGCTGTTATGATCTCATTCATACCAAGTGAACAGGATTGTCGACAAGAGTCAAATAATGTGATGGATGAATTTTTTTTCGTAATTGATTGTAGTGGTTCGATGGCAGGTGATGATAAGATTGGTCTAGCACGTAAAGCAATGTTACTTTTTCTCAAGAGCCTGCCAATCAATTGTGGTTTCAATATTATTCGTTTTGGATCTAAATTCTCAGCACTTTTTACTGATCAGGTAACACGAGAGTATAATAAGGGAAATATGTGTGAAGCTGAAGCGATGATCAAGGATATGGGAGCTGATTTTGGTGGCACAGAATTACTCATGCCACTACGCTGGTTGAAGGAAAATAAACCATCTGCAAGTTGTGTGAGACAAATTTTTCTATTGACGGATGGAGAGGTTTCTAACGTTAGCGAAGTAACAAACCTCTGTCGTGAGATGGCCGCATATACACGCATTTTCTCTTTTGGTTTAGGTCATTCAGTAAGCGACTCCTTCTTTGTAAATAACTTCATTTAATTAATTTTTTCTTTTCACTTCATAGCCAAGTCGTGCCCTTATAAAAGATTTAGCTCGTGCTACCAATGGTTACTTTAATTTCATTGCTCCACATACAAATGTGGATATCTATGTCGCTGAACAACTTGCTCGTGCGTTGCAGCCAAGTATCGCAGATGTGTACATTAAATGGAATATAAACCAACGTATCCTTCATAAAATACCCGAACACGCTCCTCCCGTATTTGTTGGAGATCGATTACTTTTCTATGCTTTACTCGATGAGACAATGTCATCTGATCATACAACAACAGTTGAATTATTTACTGGCATGCAACAGAAACCGATTGGTTTAGCTCGTATAGATCACGTGCCGTCAGTACTTGGCTCGCAATTTGTTATGCGTTTGTCAGCAAAAGCATTACTTCGTGAACTTTCGAATGATCAAGAAACCATAGACAAAGAACTTCTTATTAATATTTCAATCAAGTATGGCATTCTGTGTCCATATACTGCATTTATTGGTGTTGAAAGACGTTTGAATACCAACAATGAAAGTAATATCGATATGAAACTTCGCGAAGTGCCAATTATGATACGTAAGACATGTCGAGAGTCAGTAACACGATTTCGTGCAAGTTCATATACGCGTTCTCGAAGATGCGGAGCTCTATTGCCTGATATTAATAGTCCGATGATGAATATGCAGTGTAGCTATGATTGTTTGATGTCAAGAAGTTACAGTCCCTCAGGTCTACAAGACAAAAGTTCTACCTTAAGTGCTTCTACACAGCAACTTTACAAAACAGTGCAACGAAACAAGGCATTCAATGTCAATATCGGCTCGATTTTTCAGCCTGCCATTCATTTTGTTTCGTCTCTATTCGCCAAAAAAAGTACCGAACAACTTAACACTTCTGATTCGGAACCTGTAACATATTCAATATGTGACCACATTGATCAATCATTACATAATTCAAGTTCTTCTAGCAGTCAAATATTAAAGATAATCTGGTCAATAGACGAACAGAAATTGGTTGATCGCTTTATTGAATTGCAACAATACAATGGTCTATGGATGTTAACAGCAGACGATGTTCATCAGTTGACAGGAAAATCTCTCGCTATCTTCTCATCATCAGTGATTGAAAAACTTGAGAAGAATATTCAACAATCGGTAATAACCACGGCAATAGTTATCATCTTACTTGAAACTCGATGCCTTGCTTTGAAAACACTTTGGCAAGCCTTATCGAACAAAGCATATAAATCTTTAAAAGGTCTACTAGATGGAGACGAGTGCAAGGTGAAACAATTAATGAAAGACATTCGTCATCAATTTCAATGAACACTAAATGGTAATATTTTAATCAAGAACCGTCTGTCAATGTCATTATATAGTTATGCTTTATATAAATATATTCTCTTTTACTAATTATCCATTTTCCTATATGATATTCCTCATATATATCAATGAGTCAAGAAAACAATTATAGTTACTACATAAATAATAAATACAATAATAAGAACATTTAATAACTATTTCCATCAGTTTTAATTTTTTGTTGTTGTTCTATTGTCTTTTGATTAGGTCAATAGAATGATAGAGGTGTTTATTGTAATTGTGAATGTTATACAAGATTACGTAAAATAGATTTCATCAATACGCGTGTAAAAATTATCCAAAGGAAGAATCAATTATTATGTAGATTAAGATAAAATGATGATCTTTAAGATATTTTTCTTAGTGATATTGGCTGTTGCATTATATACGACTTGAATGGATCGATTACCAAGGTTTTTTTTTGTCGAATATATTACTCACTGTCATCTATTGGATTTTGATAATATTAAAAAAACATTCTCTATTTTCTTCTTTCCATTCTCATGCAGCCAGTTTTATAATCTTTATTAGTTTAGAAAAAAAAGAAAAAAGACGAAATTATGCATTTTTCCTATTTTGTTTGTTAGTGAAATATTCAAAAAAAAACGATTGTATCAACGTCAGTTCATGTGTTCCACTCAGTCTTAGAAACAAAATGATAAGGATTCATAAAGACTAGAATAATTAAATAGAACATCCTTATCTAATTTTTTCCCATTATGAACAATAAATCTTTATTATAACGAGTTTGTCAATACATCATATTGAGGTTCGGTATTCATGAAACTTTCGAAATTGTTCCTTTTCAATGAGCTGATCATAAAAAAAAACCCAATGTCCAAGTTAGAATTTTATTTAGCAAATTAAAAGAAGACACTAATGAAAACCGGTTCGAGACGAAGAAAATTAAATTGGAAAATTCGAAATAAAACGGAATTATGAATATTTTAATGATTTTGATTAATATGATGAAATATCACTATGGCTCTGTTGTTGACCACTGTTATCAGGTGAATAAGTATTTGGTAGTGCAAGTTTCGACGCTTTCTGTAATTGATGGTTGGTACGAACTTGTCATGTTCTGATTATTATCGTTTGAATCTGCGGCCTCGTGCACAATTCTATGAACTATAAATCGTTGGAAACGTGATATATTGGGTATTTCTTGTGGCAACACATCATTATCTTCAGTCTCATCATTGTTGCATCTATGACTTTTTGACCAATTTTTTCCTTCGCATAGCTCTCCTTCGGGGCTAAATTGTGGAACTCACATGTCTTTGTTAGCTTCATTATACTGGATACCAAATATACAAAGTGTAAAAACTCGAAAATACAATAGCTTTTTTCCAACGATAATCAATTATCAGCAAACATTGTCCTTTTTTCATTTCTACATTTCGAACAAAAATTTTGCTTTCTATTTTTGGGAAAAGAGTTGCTAAAGTCTTTAATAGAGGAAGATAGGGGAAACCGCGAAACTTCGACTTAAAACTAATACTCACTATTTTCTTCGAAAATATATGTGAGTTCAACAAAAAATTATTCTACACTCATCTCTAATAGTCATACTTTTGTTCAAATTATTAATCAATAAAAAGTCTTTCCATTGGAAATCTTTTCTGTGTATGCATTAAATATATGACAATTTTCTTAAAATATCGATTTTTTTTTCTAATATTTTATAGTTAAGTCTATAGATCAACACAAACATATCTGAATCCTTGTAGTTTTTGGCGAAGATTTTGAAAACGAGATTCTGAAATCGTTTCTCATTGGATTTTGGCTTGTAGCATGATCAATTCGTAGGAAAAAATCTTCTCTTTCGATCTTCGCCAACTTCAAATTCGTAGCTATTTCCTTTCAAAACTTACAAGGGTTTTCCTGGGGCACCCGATTTCAGTAATTTGACCTCGAAGGACTTTAAAAGAGATCTAGACAGGGTGTGGGTGTGGGTGGAAACAAGAGACAGACCCACACCCACACCCACCCACACACCCACACCCACACCCACCCACACCCACACCCACACTCACACCCCACACCCACACCCCACACCCTCAACATTTATCATTGTGCGATCCCATTGAGATAAATAATCTACACTTGCACCATCAACAGTACAAGCAAGAAATGTTACATACATAGTATTTGATTGACGTTCATATCGCATTAAATTTTCTAAACTTGGTATATCAACATTACCATAATTACCAGTTGGTTCTCCATCTGTAGCTATGAAAACTAATAAACGTTTGTTCTTACTACGTTTACTTGCTCCTGATTGAAAAATTCGTCGTAATGCAGGAGTAAGTGGTGTTAATCCTCGAGGACGTTGATTGAATGATTCAATAACTTGTTGAGGATAAGTAATATTAAGCATAGGAGGTCGATTAAGAAAATGTACATCAACACCATTCGAATCAAATATAGTACCAATATCAATAATAATTCGTATGATACGTTGTAATTCATTCCAACGAGTACGAGTTGTTCCATCAACAAGTGTATTCATTGAACTAGAATCATCGCAAAGTATAACAATTTCAAATTGTTGAGGTATATTTAAACGTTGTACTAATTCATCATTTATTTCATATTCTCTAGCTATTTCTCGAAGACGATCATTAGGAATATTTGTATTGTAGCCACCAGCTATGAGATGAAAAGAAAAAAAAGTATTAAATTAAATGATCACAAACTACAAACCAAATTGTTGATGTGGTCCTAATGGATCATTTTGAGGATATCCACCTATTCAAAATTAAAGATATGATTTACGAAAACTTCCACTATTTTAAAACAATGTCATATTACCTTGATATTGTTGAGGATATGATGGCGCATTAGGATTTTGAAATGATGGTTGTTGTGAATAACTACCTAACAATTATTCGAATTAGATCATTTCAAAGAAACTAAATGACTGTGTACCTTGTTGGGGCTGATTAGGATTCGGTTGTTGATATGGTTTTGATTGTGGATATGGATTTTGATAACTTGCAGTATTTGCTAGAACATATAATATTCATTTATTCTCCTACAATGGAAGGTTTTGTACTGTTAGAAAAGAATATGAGACTAGAGGTCTAAGCCGACGAATTGATTGGCGGTGATGGTGAAATTTTTTTTAATTTTTTAAAATCTTCGTCGATGGCTGATTTGAACCTGTAGGTTCTTCAGCAGTGACTGGAAACTTCGAAACTGATTAATGATTTAGATGATAAGAAACACCCGTTTATTTCAATATATGATTAATAATAATGTCAAAAAAAGCTAAATGGAATAATTGTGTTTCACATATTGATATATATCAAGATGTCAAAAACTTGTCCACTTTAGTTTTTAATAATAGAGTCTGAAAGACTATCTCTGGAAAACATTAGTTTTTATCTATGTTCGAGTTCTTGTTTCAATTCTACAAGTTTTGTTGTATAGCAGTTTAGAGAAAACAGAGAAGAAATGTAATTGTTTGTTGGTTTGGCTTGCTGAGTTTCTATCACTTGATGGCTTGATAATAATGGATTTTCACTTATTGAAGTAAATTTTGTAATAAACATTTCATTCACTCTTTTCTGCAAGTAACACCAGTGACAAGAAATAAATTATCATTTTAGTGAATTCAGTGGTTTAATTAGAGTAAAAAGGCTTTCATTGGAATTATGAAAATTCGTTATATCGGGTGGTAGATTCAGATACAAATCCAACTTAAATCACCAACATTAATAAATGGCGGCTGAGAAATTCTTAAAATTTTCGTTGCTACGACGGCTACATTATATGTAAGATATCTACGAGTCAAAATTTTGATACTATTTATTTTTCTTTTTACGTCATGATTGGATAGGGCTCATCGAGTTGCGTAACAAAAAAAAGTGTGTTTCAAAATTTAAAAAATTACTAAGTTCAAAGTATCATTATATTCAAATATAAGCGAACTTTTGAATTTTACGGAGTATTTTAAAGTTTATTTTTAAGTTTGCAACACATTTTTTCTTGTGTAACTCGACAAGTTCTATCCAGTCATGACAAAAAAACAAAATAGTATTAGAATTTTGACTGATGGGTATCTTACATATACTTTAAATATCTAAAAAAAACTCCATTATCTTACACGGTGCACACGGCGGGCAGCTCATATTTTAAATTTTTCAGTTTGACATAGGGATGTGCAGTTTCGATGAAAATAGTGAACTACTGACAGTGACACACTGACACTGACTGCGGTGTCTACACCAACATTAATATTCACTGAACCAGTGCATACACTGACACTGACTGCACCGGTGTCAGGATTCACCGAAACAGTGATGCTCATTGAAGTATCAAGTCGCCGACTCTACAAAAGTATGCACTACTCATGACTTTATTTATGACTACCAGTGAAATTAGCGAAATGGCTATACTTATTCCTCCAGAAAGATGGATTCATTTAAGTAATCTATAATTTTGAATAATAAAGTCAATTTCAACGAAATACGCTACTTATAGTCCTAATATTGACACATAACTACGGGATTTTATTACTCAACCAGATTCATTTAAAGAAGATGAGAGTTTCTTAAAATTGATGTGGACTTTGTAAAACTATTTGTATCGTTTCGATTACATAAATTTTTCGCTTTATTTAATCTTTCTTATGCAATGGTGAAAAAAGTATATGTACGTAAAAGTGTATGTAGCTTATCTCAACCAAGAAACCAAACTATTGAGTGGATATGCTTCCATTCAATGAAAATATTTCGTTCATCCGCATATTACAGACGGAAGATGTTGTCGTCTTCTGTGTATAAATTCTAGTCAATGTAAATCAATATCAGTACGTCAGTGTTCCAGTGTGCGTCAGTGCAACAAGCGCAGTCGGTGTCAGTGTATGCACTGGTTCAGTGAACACCAATGTCGGTGCAGACAGTGGAACCAGTGTAGTCAGTATCAGTGTATGCACTGGTTCAGTGAACACCATGTCGGTGTATGCACTGATTCAGTGAACATCATGTCGGTGCAGACACTGTAACCGAAGCAAGCAGTGTCAGTGTCATCAGTGTACCGGTGAACGCCAGTGTGACTTTATCGGTGATCAGTATACTGAAACTGCACATCCCTAGATAGAACATATAAATATGTTCGATCCTTCAATATCAATAATCTCCGTAAACGCTTATTTCAAGAGAATGGTGAACTTGATCTCAACATTCGACAACGTCATCTGTGCTCATATGTTAATACATTACGTAAATCAAAATATAATTGTTATACAACAGAACGAAGAAAATAAGAGTAATGAATTTTATTATTATACGAGCTGTGTAATTTTCAGCAGAGAAAGATATTTACAATTTAAGCTATACAAAAAGAAAAGTTTATGAAAGATCAAGACAGATTTATTTCAAAATTAAAATCATTCTTCTGTGAAAACTTTCAATAATACATAATTGAATCGGCTTATATAAATGATAAAAACTGTACAGTATTAATTGATATATATGTAACGTATCTATTTGATTTGTCTATTGATTTTTTTTATTAAAATTCTCATTAATAAACAAAAATATTAGTAGAAAAGTAAACGAAAAAAAATTGTAAGTTTGTTTGGTTTTGTTTTGCTATGAAATTCAAACGGATAGATTGAAACATAAATGACTTACTATCGATCGACACTAAATAATGTTTTAATGAAAATTTTTAAAGAATTTAAGTATCAACTAACAATTTACGACAAAAAAGCAATAAATGATTCATTCTATTTACTCTAAAAAAAATCACATGCATAACGTTCATCAATATTTATCAGGTCATGTTTATATAAAATTACAAGTTTAAAATCTCTAATTGAAGTGCATTTTTTTTCCTGTAAACGAACTTTTCCAATTATTTTTTTTTTGTAACAGTAAAAAGGTCAAACATTGTTTCCGTTTCCAAAGTAAAAAGCAAAGTAACTAGAATCTTTTATTCAAACTGATTACTACAACTGATTTAGCTGTGAATTTATCAATTTTATGAAATGAATAAAATGTTTATCGTAATCTTCTTTTATTTTTGTTGTTAGCGAACTTTCTATATTCATATTGAAGAAAAACAGTGCAGTGTCAGACTCAACAAGATATATAAAGAGATTAATATTAAAAAAACATCCATATATAAATCTTTTATTAAAAGCTTTTTTATTAGTGGAAATTTTTCATAAAAATTATAAGGACAATATCATTTAATCGAAGGAGATTTGCAATTTTTGTTTAAATCTCGTTCATATTCCATAGATTCACTTACACTTTCTAGCATAATAAAACAAGTAACGCTCGTCTGTGTGACTCGCTTAACCCTCGACTGAATATTTCACTGCATCGGCAGTTGTTTATTACTGCAGACATTTTGCAAAAGGTAGCATCGGGCATTTGCACATGGCTTTGTGCTAGTGTCAACATTAGTGTACACATGTGTCGGCGTGTATAATGCTATTGGTACCGTTGTAATACTGCTAGCTATAACATTCGTTCATTTAATCTGTTACTCTATCAATAGCACTCAAAAGAAATCTACGTGACCCACACTGACACAGCAATATCCTCAAACCACGAAAAAATAGTATATTCGATTTTCAGAGAAAATCAGCAGACAAAAAATATCAGGGTGACTGCAGTAAAGATGCACTACAGTTCACGCAAACTATATTAATAATGCGTATACTCATAAACACATAGGCGGGCAATATTGCTGACCGGTACCCACTACGAAAATGCATGTTTAGCGTAGCTATCAGACTAAAAAGCTATATTTGTTCAAACTAATATCCGGTATACGCAAGTTGAATCAGGCTTCAACTCTGAGTCTTTGTGAGATTAAATAACGAATTTTAAATAGCCGGAAAAAAAATTTGACAAGTCAATGGGCAGATGACGTATCTATGAAGATAAAGGATTATTAAATTCCATTCAAGTCCACTTTTGATGATTCGATGCAAATTGTATTATTGACGCTTTTCAGGAAATGTTCGATTCCGATATTGAAGATCTCCAACACACTCGTTCTCACACTTCATTCAAATACACTTGTTAACCCTCTTGCCAGTTCTTCCTCCTATGAACCCTAGTAAGATCTAAGTGCTAGAGATCCTTCCAATGGATTAGAAGTTTAAAAGAATTCTATTCAAGGGATTTTTTAGGGCAGCAGCTAGTCACTCGTCGGCATCCGAGTGGGTCGTCACGCGCGACTAATTGCTGTTATGCATCGTTCTCTTCCAGTAATTATATGATCATGCACTGTTATTTAGATTTTACTGGATTCTAGATTTGGATTAGTTTCAAAGCTGCCTATATTTATCGCATGAGAAATCCCAAAGTGAAAATACTTGTGAACTATTCCTTATGCGTTTCAATCCTTTACCTAGCTAGTCAATCTAGGATTTCATGAAGCTCGTCATCGAAAGAAGCTTAAGTATATGATTTCACACAAAAAACTAGCTTAATAGACCATATCTCATACCAAAAAAAATTGTGAAATAGAAATAGAAGCTACTATATTTCACTGTCGGAGTTCCGACGTGGCGCTATTCACACTTAGCTACTACTATCTTTGAACACATATTCTCAAATGACTACTTTCTTATTCAAGGCATGACTAATCCACATTTCGACTGCTTCAAAAGCTTCTCTACTCGTAACTAAAGGGTACTAGATTTCCTATATCCAGCAAGATATCTATTAAATATATACGTGTCGTCTCTCGAGTTTCTCCATGTTTATAGGAGTCCTTCTCTACATAAAGTGTCACATGTTAAGTCTCTGCGGCACTTTTTTAAGGACCTTGCTTGATGTTATGCAGAAATGTCGTAAAACAGATTTTGAATAAACCTAGTTTGGAGGCAGCTATTCGTTCGCCGTCCTTCCGAAGGAACGCCATTCACGGCTATCCGCTACTTCCAGCTACTTTCACTCACGAAAGGTTGATACCATTTTCAAAATCGAGCCATCGTTCCTATTTAAAAAACTGATGGAAAGTTTGATCCTTTACAAAAAAATTCATCCACATTAGAAATTTTCTTTGGAAGCTTATCAGTATTCAGGAAGAGGACACGTTAGTATAGATTTACCGATAATCTGAAATCTTCTTAATAAGTGGACACAGCCGTTGTATCCTGTCAATTTAAATAATTTTTTTGCGTAACTCGCTCTCATTCCTCAATCTTTGTTCTACAAGCACTCTAATTTCATCTTATCTTCGTATTTCTTGATTCATTACACTACTGTCACGTATTACAAAGTACTTGCTGTTTCTCAACATCACTTCTCATAGAACGAATAGATTCGAGATCTGAATTTTGGAATCCTGATTCCAGATTCGGATTTCTCACCCTCGATAACCTCTAACAAAGTTCGATCAAAACGGCCAAAAGCCGTAAAATAAAAAAGTTCCTTTTTTGATTGACCGGTTTCCGACCAATGAAACTTCGGCCAAAGAAATGGCTTCGGATTCGGATTCAGGGCCATCGATAACCTATAGCAAAGTTCACTCAAAACGACCAAAAGTTTTAAAATGAAAAAGCTCATTTCTGATTGACCGATTTCTGACCAATGAAATCTCGGCCAAAAAAATGGGCTTCGGATTCGGATTCAGGGCCCTCGATAACCTATAGCAAAGTTCGATCAAAACGGCGAAAAGTCTTAAAATAAGAAAGTTCTTTTCTGATTGGTTAGTTTTTGACCAATGAAATCTCGGCCAAAAAAATGGCCTTCGGATTCAAATTCAGCGCTCTCGATAACCTATAGCAGAGTTCGATCAAAACGGCCAAAAGTCTCAAAATAAAAAAAAGTTCGTTTCTGATTGGCCGGTTTTTGACCAATGAAATCTCGGCCAAAAAAATGGGCTTCGGATTCAGATTCAGGGCCCTCGATAACCTATAGCAAAGTTCGATCAAAACGGCGAAAAGTCTTAAAATAAGAAATTTCGTTTCTGATTGGTCGGTTTTCAACTAATGA